TAAATATAATTCCTGCTAATGTTTTGTTTCTCCCTTTTCCTCTTCTCTGCCTTCCATGCCTAATGTAATACTTCGAATTTGGCGGGTGGAGGGCTTGTCTTTCTGGTGATAGATAGCATAAGAACTCTGTAGATCAGGAAAGATTCATTTTGGTCCAATATTTCATTTCTCGGTTGCTCAAAAGCAGGAGCTTTTGATATACAGGTAGGCCATGACTTAAGTTGCGCACTTAGCAACCATTTGAAGTTACAAAGGATACCCCCCCCCCCCCAATGGTTCTGATGGCCTAGTTGTGAAGTTCTGGATGGCTGCTCCCCCTGTTACATAACAGCATTTTGGTTGCTTGGCAACTGGCCTGCATTTGTGGCCATACGGTCATGTGATTGCTGTGTTCACTTAACAGTTGCCTCAAGAAAAGGTTATAAAATTGGATCAATCACTCAGCATAAGTTTAGGATTTCCTGTCCTCAGTTTAGGACTACAGTTGATGCTATAAATTTCTGTTGCTAAGCAAGGCAGCTGTTAAGTGAGTTATGCTTCATTTTATGACTTTTTTTTGCCACAATTGTTAAACAAATCACTGCAGTTCTTAAGGGAATCATGCAATTTGCATAGACATAATCTCTGCAGTTCTATAAAGTAGTATATACTTTCTGACTTCTATCATAACTAGAAAAGAGAAGAAAGCAGAGCAGAATTACTGCAATTACTCTGGTTGTGTGGCTCTGTTGATTCATTAGGATAAAAAAATTAAAGCTGCGGGGATGCCTCCAACTTGCGCAAAGGGTACGAGAAAGTGAGGAAAGTAACAGGAGCAAAACTCTGAGTAAGAGCAGAAGCTGGCTTCCTTTCTGTGCGTGGCATTGTGAAATGTCTTTATGCTTTGGGAAGTGAAACCAAGTTAAAAAGAAGGAAAACTTTTTTGTCATGATCAGTTCAAAGTTAAACTTGGAGTAGGAAGTTCCAGGCCAGATTCTGTGCTGATGTATATGTCACAAATTGGAATGAAATAGCACTGTTGATGACCCATCACCCTAATTGTCCTATCCCTGATTTGCCAGCTATGCTAATAGTGAAGAGTGTTGCTTTTGATAGGGAAGTGAAAAGGTACGATTCACAGGTGAGGGAGGAAGGAAGGAGTTTCGTGGTCCCGTTTCTCATTGTCAGAGGCAATTACCAGACCAGAGTAGGAGGATATTTCTCAACAATCCTTTTTTCATAATCTGATGCTCTTATTTTGTCTTTCAAAATAAACATTCTTCTGATTTGCAATATATCAGAAATGACGAAGCTTGTAGCTAATCCAGATTTTTGATACCCAATGCAATACCCATAGCTCTCAATGTACGATCAGAAATTCTGTCGCCAAGCAATGGGTTGTTAAGTGAGTTGCATCCAGTTTTTTTTTTGCCATGGTCATTAAGTGAATTATGGTTATTAACCAATCTGCTTGGCCTGTTGACTGCTTGTCAGAAGCCTCCTTGGATCGCAAAGGACTGTCATATGATCCTGGTGTCCTATAGCTTTCATGAATACATGCCAGTTGCCAAGCGCCTGAATTTTGACCACATGAGTGTGGGGACACTGATGGTCATAAGTGTGAGAACCAGTCATAAGTCATTTTTTCAGAGCCATAATAACTTGAAATGAATGGTCATAAGTCAAGAACCACCCATAATTTTCCAAATGCTGAACATTTCTTAAAAGAGTTTTCTTTTTATAAGGTATTTTCTATTTAGGGTTAAGACATGTGGGATGGGGACAGTTATTATACAGTGTACAGTGTACACCCAGACAGCCCAGACTTTAAAAACAATTACAATTTTAACAATAACCTTCTATGAACATATAATCTCTGTGTAATGATTTTTTAAAGTCATCTTTTCCACTGGCACTAGAAACATCAGTCCTGTCCTTTCCTATCCACTATTTATCTGCTTTTCTTTCTCTTTTAAAATCTAACTGCCAGCTGTCTCTACTCACATCTCTGTTTCCCACTTTGTCTTAGCTTTGAAGTGTGTATGAACATGCCCAGTTAACTCTTTTCTTCCTTTAGTACAGGGGTCTTCAAACTTAACAGCTTTAAGACTCGTGGACTTCAACTCCCAGAATTCCTCCTCCAGTCATGTTAGCTGAGGAATTCTGGGAGTTGAAGTCCACAAGTCTTAAACTTGCCAAGTTTGGAGTCCCTTGTTTTAGTAGAGTAGTAATTTACCATTTCATCCCAGAACCCAAATCATGATACATTCCTTCATTTTAAATGCATCCTTTTGTCTCTTTCCAGGCTAGGTCCTTCAAGAAGGATGTCCCTGCCAAAGCATTTCCTGCTTTCCTTTGTACAGTAAGTGGCTGTATTTTTTTTTAACTTCACCAAAAATTGTGATAACGGCAATCAGCCTTCAAACACCATTCTGAGACTGTGTCTAAACTACAAAGCCTTATGGCAAATGTCTAGACACATTTTCAGATAATCTTGCTTACTCACCTATCCCCTTCGGCTTTTCTTTGATAACATTTGATTTCATCAAGTATTCCGGTAAATACTGTGTCATTTTAACATAATTAATGATGTATTAACACAAACACAATGTAGATTGGGATTTTTTTTACAGTTAATATGGTTGTGATTTCTTTTGGTGGAACAAATTGTCTAAAGTTGAGATGGGAATCCTTTCCCCAAAACTATTTTTTGGGCCTCCAATGTTTATGAGGGAGGTTGTGCAGGAGTGGGATTCAAAAATCCCAGCAACCGGTTTGCTGACCAGTTGCTGGGTGGGCGTGGCCTACTGGAACTTCTGGGAGGGTCATTTTTCGCCTTCCCAAGGGTCCAGAGGCTTCCCTTGGGTCTCTGGGAGGGCGAAAACTGCCTCCCCCTGGCTCTGGGGGCCCTCCGGAAGCCGGAAACAGGCCCATTTCCCGACTTCCAGAAGTCTCATTTTCCCCCCCTCCCAGAGCCTCTGTGTGGACCCTGCACTTACCTGCATCTAAAATGGGCCACGTGGAAGCTCCTAAGCGGGGTGGGCGGGGCCAGCCCGTTGGTTCAAATACCGGTTTGGCAAACCAGTTGCAAATTTAGCATCCGGTTCGCCTGAACTGGTCCAAACTGGTAGAATCCCACCCCTGATGTTGTGGTGTTGCAACAATATAGATAGGATCAAATTTTGCCACCTGGCTTCTCATTAGGAAGCAAGGTTGAACTTTTCTTCCCAAGTAAAATAACTATGTTAAATGTATCAGAAACTTCATTTTGGTAGTCCTCAACTTAACAGTTCATTTAGTGACTGTTCAAAGTTACAACAGCACTGAAAAAAGTGACTCATTTTTCACTTACAACCATTACAGCATCCCCATGGTCACATGATCAGACGCTTGGTAACTGACTCACATTTATGACGATTGCAGTTTCTGGGGGTCATGTAGTCACTTTTTGAGACCTTCTGCCAAGCAAAGTCAATGGGGAAGCTCTTAACGACTGTGTCACTAATTTAACCACTGCAGCGATTCACTTAACAACTGTAGCAGGAAAGGTTGTAAAATGAAGCAAAATCATTTAACAAATGTTTCCCTTAGCAACAACAATTTGGGGCTCGATTGTTTGTCAGAGTAATGCTTTCTACTGTAAAGAGTGAAATTTAAAATTTCTGTTGGAAGAAATATCCTTCTGGGTTCAGTTCCAAGTGGGGAAAAAGTTAGTGGAAACATGGTGACTGCTTGGGAAGATGGTTTAATGGTGGACAGGATCACATGCCTGGGAGTTTCTGGGTGAAAAAAGGGCAGAGATGCTGAGAGTGCCTGGGTTTTATGCCCTCTGTTGGGATTTGAATTTGAGCTTCTATTCTGATTGGTTGTCAGACTCCCATGGGGCCATGCAAGGGCAACTCTGTGGGCTGTCTGTGGGCTTGGTTGAGCCTTGCTGGATGATGATGTAATGAAAGGGCTTTGGGCAATTCCTATTATAGCTCTACCTGGAGTAGATCTTTGATATGTAAAATAGACTGGCCCAGGCCAGAGTAATGGTCCAATAGCAAAGGTGGGGGGCTGAGTTTCTGCCTCTGAGTTTCTACTTTTCTTTTTAGGGGAAATATTCTGCCTTTTTAGTATATCCTAAAATATTTCATTTTCCTAGGAGAGGGGTGGGTTTTAACTTCCAACATTTCTATCTGAAAAGTAAATATGGATTTCATGTGAGCCTCTTACTGCTACTAGCATGACATGGTGACCTATAAATCAGTTGTCCATTTGCCATTAATATCTTGGTATTATTGTTATAGCAGCAATAACAATAATTATTGTTTATATATTTCATTGCTTATAGTATGTTTGATATATTGCTTATATGTTATAATAATTATTATATCTTCTTTCTTTCCAGGTTGCTGTTGCAGATTATTTACACAAAATACGAAAAGCTGACTTTAATATATTTCATCCAAGTTTGCACCAGAAGAGCACTTTATTACCTTTGCATTTGTATATTAGATCATGGAAAAAAACTTATTAAAAATATGAGATTGAGTCTTTCTGATTGAGAATTACTACATTTTTCTTTTCATTGATATGGTAATGTTATATGGATGACATATCCAGGCTCTTTTTTTCACATTTAATCCAATCCCAGACCTCACAACAGATTTTATGAAATATATTAGGTAAATTAGTAACTTATCCCACTGTCACAGAGTAAACTGCATGACTGAGTCTGTATTTGAACGCAAGCATTGTCGTCCAAATCTAATTCTATCCATGACACCCATCGTCATGGAACTTGAGAGTTCTTTAGCAATTTTCCATCCAAGGGCTAATCAAACAGAGCCTTGCTTAGGTTCAGCCAGGTTTTTGTATCAATTACAGGTAGTCCTTGACTTATGACCACAATTGAGCCAAGAAATTATGTTGCTAAGTGACAAGTTTGTTGTTAAGTGAGTTTTACCCCATTTTGTGACTTTTCTTGCCACATTTGTTAAGTGAATCCCTGCAGTTGTTAAATTAGTAACATGGTTGTTAAGTGAATCTCGCTTCTCAATTGGCTGTGCTTGTCAGAAGGTTGGAAAAAGTGATCCCATGACCTAGGGACACAGCAATGAACCAGTTGTCAAACCATAAATATGAACCAGTTGTCAAACATCCGAATGTAAATCACGTGACCATGGGGATGCTGCAAAGGTCATAAATGTGAAAAACGGTCACAAGTCACTTTTTCAGTGCCATTGTAACTTTGAATGGTCACTAAATGAACTGTTGTAAGTTGAGGATTAGCTGTACAGATTAAAATGTATACATAGCAAAATTTGATAAAATGAACATACAGTTTTCTAGTTAGCATAGGCATTGTGGAAAGTCCTGGGAGTTGAATATTTATACATTTGATAAATGTTCGGATTGGGCAGAATGTTCTATATCGGAGGTCTCCAAACTTGGCAACTTTAATACTTGTGGACTTCAACTCCCAGAATCTCCAGCCAGCTGTGCAGGACCCCTGTTCTATAGGATGCTGATTCTTTACTTCTTAAAATAATATTTGCATGCTTTAAAATGTTTCTCTACTGCTTTTCATCAGAAATAGTTTACAAAAATAATAATAATAACGTGCAAAAAGAAAGCCTCCACATGCAACTGAAACAAAATAATATGTTTAAAAGCATGAAACAAACAAAAATGTAAAAAGTATGCAGATTATATATTTTCACTTATATATGCCAGTCATAAGTCCCCATAAAAAAGAAACAAAAAAAAAATTCTAGCAACAATAGTTTGGCTAATCAATTGGCTGGTATTTGGTTAATGTGAATTGCAATTGTACCTGTGGATAACTAACTAACAGTATTGATTGTATGCTCAAATGTGCTTCTTTTACAAGACACTTAGAAAATATTTGTGAATATGTGTCTGTGTGTGTGCTTGTGCGTCTTTGAGTCAGTTTTTTTAATGCCTGGTAACTACCTGGATAGGTCCTTGAACTGGTTGGCAGTATTTTGGAAGTAGCTTCCCATTGCCTCCTTCCTAGGGCTAAGAGAGAGTGACTGGCTCAAAATCACTTAGCTAGCTTCATGTCTAAAGTGGGACTAGAATTCATCATCTCCCAGTTTCTAGCCTTATGCCTTAACCACCACATAAAAAAACACAAAAAGGAAAAAATACCGTTAACATGCTAACATAAAAAATGAGTGTATAGTTGTTTAATTTCCTTTACAGAACTATATATATGCCTGCATTTTTAGTTTTGATTTCATTAGTAACATAGGAAACACATATATTTATTTATTTACAAAGTTAAATGGCTGCCAATCTCATACAATGTTTTCAGGTGAAACACAAATTTTCTACCATTTTTAACTTGCAAATACTTTTAACTTTTGCTGCTGGATGAAACTCTTTCAGAATTAGCCAGTAGAAATATCTGTTTGACTTGTAAACTTTTTATATTATTCAGACATTTGAAATGGAAACTTTTCTACTATGGTGTGCAGGAATTAAGTTGTTGGTCAAATCAATACAGTTCATTCTTAGATGTTTGTCTTATGAAAAAAAAAGTTGTGTTGGAATAGCTTTACTATGGAATTGTTCAAAAATACAGTATAATACTTTGACAGGGTGTGTCTAAGAAAGAATTTTATGCATCTCAGAAATCAACAGAAGTTTGAACATTAGTTGGCTCAGGAGAATAATATTAATTACACTTTGGTCTATGCCTATTAAATCTTGACCAGATTAACTAGAGGGTGGGATTGATGAAAAGGTTTCAATATGTTTTATATGCTAATAATATGCATTTCAATCTACATTTCAAGAAAAGTTTAGAAAGTTTCATTTTCTGAAACATAGGAGACCTGGTAACAGCAGCTATAATTAATAGTGCCCAAAAATAGACTAGTGGTTTGACTCAGAAGAAATTGTCCTTTATTTTACTTAGGCTCAGATAGTCTTTAATGAAAACAAATGCCTTGGAAAAGCAGAGAATATACACAAATGTTATCGGATGCATAATTTTATTGTATGTAGGAAGGCACAACTGCAAAAGGCAAGAAATGATTCCTTGTGTCATGGAAGGCAGGGAGGTGTAGTAAAACCTGGAGAATATGCATGAGCAAACAGGAACCAGTAAACAGGATGTGAATTCAGAAAATTGCAACAGAAGTCATGTGAGATTGTAAGGTTTAAGAGAATACAACACTGTGTCAAAGTGCAGGTATTCCTGGCTATGGACTCTGTAATCAAGAGAAGCTAAGTAGGTGAAATTTGTCTTCTCCAACCCCTAATTTCCCTTCTCTCAGGAAACTGCCTAGAATTCTCCCTGTGGATGAACACTAGGAGGCAGCTTGTGACAAGTATTTTTCTCTTGTGCTAATCATTTACAGGCTGATGGGTTAATTTTTTCCTTCTGTTTAAAGGAGTTAGCTAGCCTATCTATGCATCGTTTCCTCTAGCAACCCTTCCATCTTCTGGCCTCTTTCTCCTCTTTTTAGTATATATGAATAACTCTGCTTTCTCTGTGGTTATTTTTTAAAAAGATGTCCTGTATTCTGAATGTAAAAATATTGAACTGTACAGGTAGTCCTTGCAACTGCCCTGTGTTTAGCGATGGCTTGAAATTTATTCTGGTACTGAAAAAGCATGTTTATGACTGGCCCTCACACTTAACAACTGCAGCATCCCCATGGCCATGTGAACATGATTCCAGCACTTCAGAACCGGTGGTGTTTAATGACTGTCATAGTGTCCTGTGGTCATGATTGCCATTTGTGCTTTTCACAGCTGACAAGCAGAATCGATGGAGAAGCTGACAGTAAAAGCGCAAGTTGTGGTCACGTGTCTTACTTAACAACCATGAGTGATTCCCTTAACTATTGCAATGGAAGTGAGGTAAGGCCATTGTGGTCATGTGATATCTTGCTTAATGATTGTATCATTTGGTGACGGTTGTCAGGCCCAATTTTGGTTGTTAAGCAAAGACTAATTCATCTCAGATACATGCTGATATCGACTAGAAACGTGATTAAAACATTGTTTAAAAACAAGCCAACATTGTCCTTCCTGGGACTCTTTAGTTTTGTTGGTCTGCAATGCATGGTGAGACATTCTGGGATTTGTAGGCCAATGTAGCCAACCCACAAGTACAAGCAAACAGTCCTTTGCATGCAAGAGAAGTAGCATAATAATTAGGAGGAATGTGTGAATGCAAGCCCTGAGTCCAACATCTTCATTTGATTTAAGAGACTGCTGTACAATTAGCACATAGAACTAATCTAAGGAAGACATATCTTCAGGAACCAATGGCCTTGCTATGTTGCTGAATTACATGCATGGTGAAATATTCTGGCAGTTCTGGTTCAGTGGCATCTGAAAAGCCACATTTCCCACCCATGTAAAGAATTTTGGGTATGCTTTTATCTGAATACATTTTACAATTGTATCTGTGAAGTCTGTGACCAGACCCAACTTTACTACCATTTTTAATGGTCATAAGTAAAATCAGTCATGTATGAATCCAGATTAACCAATGGTGTTTTTTGCCGGACCATGGGATGGTACAACTGACTTGAGTTGCGATCACATGACTGTGGGGACGGGGGCATTCATAAGTTCAAATTTAGGTTGTGACTGACTTTTTGGAGTCTAGTCAATTCAGCTCAAATTGAATATCAGAAATACATCAGAAATACATCAAGGAGCTGTAACAGATGCAACTGAGCAGTATATGTCATCAGAACATAATACTCTGATATCTCAATCAGCATCCATTTGACTGCAAAATTGCACATAAGTTCATAAAGTTTGCGTGAATAAAAGGGTAAGGATGTAATCAATATACAGTATAATAGCTGACGTTGTAGTGCCTACAAGAGCTCAATGCTATTTAGCATCTTTGCTTACAGAATCAATCAAGAACATTCATTCATAGAATATCAATGTTGAAAGAGTTGTGTGTACTGATTCAGATATTTGCATGGCTCCCAAGAAACATTGTTCATCAGATATTTAAGATAACATTTTCAAATATATTATGTTTGTTAAGTTTAAAAAAACATTGAAGGCTCTTTCAGACACATTTGTTCATCACAGGAGAGAAAAAAAATCTGTTTTAAAGCTAGCTAAATGGTCTAGAATTATCTCTTTGTAATCTAGGATAGCAAAACACTCTTCATTTTCATTAAGTCATCCCGGTTTAAAGAAGTTACATATCCCTCCATGAGAACTGACTATTCACACAATATGCTCTTAAGTTCCTTTATTCCTTAGAAAATAGATTCATTCAGTAACCAGGTTAAATATGTTATATAAACACTGCATAACATGATGCAAATCAAGCTTAGAGTTGAAGATTCACACAAATCCCTCCAGCCCTTCATAATAATTTCTTCCCTGTTGACAATCCTGTCAATCCAGCCATGTTACAAACACTTCTGTATGTATGTCAGTGGATAAATGCAAATCTCTCCACATCAGGAGTTGTCAAATTACCTGAATAATGTTTAACAGAGACAAATAAAAAGACTGTCACTGAGGAAAAGAAAATCAAAAGTAGAAGGAAGGGCTGGATGGTTTCTTTCCCTTCTTTTTTTTTGGCTTTGAGTCAATCTTTATTCCTGGAAGTTGCCTGAACAAGTCCATAAAATTTTCTTCGGAAAATTTTTAGAAGTAATTTGGGGTTGCCTTCTTCCTCCTTCCTAGCGCTGAGAGAGGGTAATTGACTCAAAATCATCCAATAGGTTTCATGCCTAAAACAAGACTAGAACTCGTGGTCTCCTACGTATTAATCCAGTGCCTTTAAACACTGAACCAAACTGGCTCTCATACCTGGCTTGATAACAGACAAAGTGAAAGGATCTTGAAAAGATAACAGACTCAATATGGGCCAGTTCAGACCACCCTGTTAACTAATTAAATGGTTAAGTCGTAGGGCAGACTAATATAGAATATGCTAGCATTCTGACCAGCTTAATTCCCATAACTAATCTAGAGCTAAATTAATTCTTCCCACTCAAC